CATGGGAAAGTAAGAACAGGGGGGGCCGAAAAATGACGATCGTGGGCTTGGTGGGTACATGAGTCGGAGAGACCAGCGCTCCGTGTGAAGGGCATGCGGAGCGGAGAAGGGGGCGTAAATCAAGAGACAAGTGCGGGATTCTTAAGGTTGACAGATAGAGTCTTTCTTTGAGTCTGTCAATGGAATAGTCTTAGCGTCAGGATCTATCTCACGAACTCCTCCCGGTTCCATATAGCGTAGGTTATTGTAGGAGTCCCGATGTTGTGATTGGATGTTTCGGGGTAAAGGAGTTTGAGGAATATTGAAAATCGAATAATTAAATTCAAAAAGACGTGGTTCACTAGTGTACGTCAAATTCGAGATCCCATGCCAGGCCAGTGCTTATAAGCGGGCAGTATTGCCATTTACATGAGCTGGAAAAGACAAGGTCCTTGACACACTAAGGAAGATGGAACAGTATACGATTACGGAGGACTTGAAAGTACGAATGTATAAAAGAACAATTAACAGAAATATACTCCGTACCACTACGTAGGACAGGTTGCATGTTCAGACAGGGGCATTCGTGCCTGAGTCAGGCCAAGTGAAGTATTTGTCTGTAATTAATATATTAAATCCTCACCTCCACTTTGCTTTTTCTGGGGATTTAAGAGATTCAGCACTCGGTACGGACTACGGAGTACGGAGTGGTTCGTGGCGAAATCAAAAAGGGAACATCCACTACCATGGAAGAGGAAATAACAAGCAGAATCGAGAGCCTTTCGCGTAAGACCCAAAAAGCGTCCCAGGTGGATCTTCCAGACACCGAATCGTAGGAAAAGATCGCCGCTTCAAGCAGAATTGTCACTGGTTCCAAAAAGATCGTGTTCCGAGAAGAGCTTAAGCCGGTGGGGACGAAAGACAGACAGGTTCTGGATTTAGTTTGGACGAATCAGAATCCGCAGAGGTGACGCCTCGGATCGATCGTAGATTGCCTGAGCCTCTCATCGGTGGGCACGGTGGTTGATCGACCAACCGGAAAGGGAGAGGGGCTGGTGCTGGCTTACAGGGATAGATCGCCTAGGGGTTCTTCAATTTGCATCTCCACTTCCTTCGAGAGCTTGTGGCGTCTAGGGCCTTTTTTTCGGTCTCTTTTTGGCATTTCTTTCCTGTCACCGTATGTCAGATCAAGGATCACCCGGAGAACCCGCTTTGGTGTTTTCCTTTTTTTTTCTCCCCATCCTGTTTTCACGATATTATGCACTGGGCTGGTGAGTGGGTGTTGATCTGATTGGAGTGAAAATACACTCGCATATGATATCTCCCAGGTGCGTTGCATTTTAGTCATTTGGATTCGCATGTCACCGATCGTAAATTGAGATTTGCGCTAATTAGGACTCGCGTATCGCGTCCATACGATGTAATCTGGACCACTATATTCTGGAGCAGTTTCTCAGCTTGACACACACACGGCACTAACAGACCCGCTCTAGCAACTAGTCACATTCTGAGAATTCAATAATGGCGCAAATCTGTCATGTCTGGGGATCCCTGGACTAAGACTAAATGCAAGCTGAGTGTGCTAGTCAGCCAATCAACGCGGGATGATGGATTCATTTTTTGGGTGATTTTCGTGATTGCACAGCTTCCTAAAACAATCTAGAAAGTAAACTAAATGTACTAAATGCAAGACTCATATTGTGTCGTATATACATCCAACCCCTATTAACCTGTCTTCATCTGACACCCGAGTCTATTTAGTTCAAAGTTTAATAAAACCTAACACTGCAGTCACCTCGGGCCCTAAGGTAAGTCCTTTGGGCCCAGTCGATCCACCCATCACCAGGAAGATCCCTTTCGAATTAAATAAATTCAACTATTTCCCGATCGGAACGGAGCGCCTCGAAGCTTTGGATCTACCGAGACTTCACTTTGATTCGCCGTTCTGCAGAGATCTGGCATGAAAAATCGGAACTCGAAAGTCTAATTTAATGAAAGTCTCAAACCGAGGTCCTCCGGACTCAGAAACTAACTAAGAAACGGAGAAAAAAGAAAGAAATTGGCATTCTAACCGACCGTCATACCTGCCATGCCCTGAGACCCCCATTCACGAGATCAGAGATCGTGCATGAAGGAATGCAGATCATCGGATCTCGCAGGCAACCAGGGTTGTCCCTGGCGAAATGACTGATCTGAAATATGGTTATTGGTCTAAAGCCGATCCATTAGAGGGGAGATAGAGAGGGTCGTTTCTCTGCCTCTTGCATAGTACTGAGAACGGAGTACTATCGGCTCATATACCTACTCCGTACCGTCGGAGGAATTACTCCAGATTGGTGGGAGCATATAACTACACATGCAGTATTTGTCATTTCCATTTCCCGGTTCTTGGGTCTCCGGCTATTTTATTTTATTTTATTTCTTTTTCCCATTTCGGTCTAAATTTGGCTGTCCAACCTTATTTGCATGATTCTGACATTTGAGCTTCCACTTTGTCCATTATAAGGATTCTAGGTGTCATTGCCAAGAATTACTTCTAGAACCAATTTCCTAGCGGCATAAAACTCTGTAGCATAGTAACATAATAATACAACCTTAGGCATCCCAAAGGGCCCCTCTGCATAAGGCCAACCCGACTACATTGGTACTAACTACATTTCTTTCAGCATGTACCCTGTAGGCCTGGACAATTCAGATTGTTTGCTTTTTGCCTGCCCAAAACAACTTAGACTCGTGTCACCGGAGGTGTATCCATGCATGATTCCGGTGTGCCAAGAGTATAGTTCGTGATGAGGCCACCAATCCTTCGTCGCCATGTAAGGCGATATTACTTACTCTTTTCTCTATTGGTCCGATCAATACTTTACTAATTTACATGGGTCTTGCTTTTTAGAATGACGTAGGTGGGGTCAGAAGTCTCTTGCTTGAATGAGTTAGGCACTTAGGCAGTGCCCGGACTTATAATTCCTGTCCCCGTGGAGTAGTATGACCTGTTGGGTCGTTTCGAGGGTGAAAGGTAACGACAGGAGCCCGGGTGATCGGTCGGTTATGCGTGAGTGCCTGACTCGGGACTAGAGCCTACCTTGTTTCTTTGTTTGCTTTATGCTCAGTTGGCGTTTGCTACCCTTGTCGGCTAAATTAAAATTAGAATCGACATCTAGCATCACCCCGCTCGATTAGGAAAGACTCTAATTATATGTGAGATGTCTACTTCCTGCTACTTCCTAATGCAGTATCATTTTCGTTGAGAATATATATCCTCCTGAATGGTTCGAGCCAGAAGGTCATGTACGAGTATGGAGCAGCGAGGAAGACATAGCCCACTATCATATGTGAGGGATCGTTTTCGTACCTCCTTCGATTTGGTTCACAAGGTCCCAGTTTCGGAGACTTAGCAAGACTAATACAATTTGAGCCACATGCCAAACAAAAGCGAGGGATACATAACCGAAGTTCAAGTGCTTGGATTGTTTCCTATCTAAAGATGCACAAATGTGGAATTGCATCTATATCTGTCGTAGTCGCAACAGGAATTTCTGAGCATTCCCACAGCTTCGAACTGAGAGCGTCGCTCACGGTAGTGGAACTTCTTTCGGCTTGCACTTTTGTGATTACTCTGCGGGCAATTTTCTCCTGTTCAAGCGTCTCCACTAGTCGTATGACTCTATTTCGCATTTAGCCCTCGCCATCGGACTGAAGTCTCCAGCCTACGAAGAGTGACCCCACAGCGCATACCCGAGATATTGCCCGGTTTGTTCCTTTGCCTTTCCGGTTACTGAGCGCGGCCTGCGACATCGCTGATATATCTCGCTTCGTCTGATCAAGCCCACCAGTGACATCACCAAGTCCTCCCGATCGAGATTTCGCGCATATCCCGTAGTAAACATCGATGTGAACTTGCTGTAGCCAATTTGGAGGCAAGGAGTGAACGTCGATATTTCGGTTGGCTAGTATCTTTTCTCGGTTGACGTGGGTAGTCGGTAGAGAAAGGAACATGACTGGCTCGGTGGCTGATGTGGACGGCGGCTTCGCCAGGTTATTGTAGGGCACAAGGGTCTCAGCCTACCAAGCAGCAATTCTAAGCTGCCAAAGGGGGATAAGAAGCACTGCCGCACCTCGACCCCTACCATGATATAGCAGTGTGACTGTTGACGCCACAATGTATAGGAAGATCATCGCCGTCGACGTCTTTTGGGCTTCTAAAAAGAAGGCGGGAAAGAGGAGGAAGAATCAACTGAATTTTTATTTCGGGATCCTATTATAGTCCCAGAAAGCAATAAACAATAAGGTCTTATCTCTGACCTGGAGCAAGCACCATATGATCTCAGCAACGTAAATTTCGACCTCGTTGAAGAGCGATAAGTGTGTTATTAGCATATCTGCCCAGGACTCATAGCTTGATACTCAAGGTTCTAGTGTGCGTATCGAGGCACTTTCGGATCCCGTTCGACTCGAAATTTCATCTAGCACGTCCCAGAGTTGTTGACCTTCCTGTGTTGTGATATCAGTAATTATAATGAGGTCTGGGTGAGCCTCAGATCGAGTTTGCACATCTTGGATGGTGGCTTCCACAATGGAGTAAAGGAGATCAAGATGTGAAGTATTGGGGGTTGGAGTCAAAGCCCTTGCAGAAATTCTGATGGGAAGGAGTTCTGGGTTTATTCCGTGTTGTGCCATTTTGACAGTAAGGTGTTGAGAAAGAAAGTAGGAAAAAATTCATTAGATGACGGATATGCTACCGCCTCATATATCCAGAAGAAAGATAGCCAATAGGAGGGCAGCGATTGGTCCATACCATGGTTCACCTGCGTAGACCATTGAATGCTTAACTTTATTTCTTCTATGTCACAGGTATGATAGATTTTAATTGTATATTCGACTATTATATTGCCTGAAGGAAAGGTTTTACAAATTAAGGAGTACTATGAAGAAACGGTAGACAACTCGACAATTGTCAATTGTCAATTGTATTATCATTATAAGAATACCTCAATCAAATCGTTGACTTTCACACAAGGAGATCAATCATAGTCCAGCACAGCAGCGAGGGTGCTAGATACTAAATTAATGAAGCTTGGGGCTGCTCCTGCTGTGGCACGGAGCAGGACATCGCTCTCACCATGAGTTGCTAGGTCGCGCAGCCAACTATCCACACTGGCAACGGATGTATCAATTTGGGAGCGCCATTGGTCATAAGTCTCACACTCTGTGATTGAGGACACAGCGTTGATTGCATCAATCAGGGGGGAGATGTAGATCGGTCGTGGGCGGTGGCTGCATGGATGGAGGGGCTCTGGCCGACACCCTTCAAGCCCACCATCGTACCAAAAGCTAGGGATACAGACGGGCAAATCAAACCCGGACGTATGACCCTGCGCGCAGATGAGTCGTGGGCGGACGTACTTCCAATAACCAGGCCCATGGCGTTTTGATGTGTATGCATATAAGCCGCTCGCTATTGCGCTCAATCCCATCGCACTAGGAGAGCAGATGGTATACCAACGGAGCGCTGCAAGAAAATGAGTAGCCCAAGCTTTGCCCATATCGCCATTGAGAAAAATTGCGGCTCCCCTTTGGTCCCCAGTCATACCGTCATACCCTAGATTTGGAATCTGGGCCACTGTCTGCACGACGACAGCAACATCGACTACTAGCGTGCCATCGCAAGCGACAAAACTGACGCCTGCTCGCAGGGCCATCATTGAATAGAACTCAGAGAAGCTAGCCTGGTACCCAGTAGGCTGGAGATTACCAGCACCGCGGGTCACGAAAGTCCACAAAGTCGCGAGAATATCTGTCTCTGTATCGGCAGTGAACAGCGATTTAGTAGAGCCGAGCCAAGGAATAGTCGTGATTGGCGGTGCCCTAGCACCGGAAACCCGATCATTGAGCCATGAACACCAGGTGTCCAAAATTGGTTTGACCGAAGAATGACTGGCGTAGAAGTACCAGAGTCCTCCGAACATAACGGTAGCAAACACGTATTCAGCACTAGAAACGATAGACGATTTAGGAATTGTCGGGCGGTCCGTGGCGGTGCGTATAAGGTTGTCCTTGGCGCCCTTGACAGCGTTTCTCAAGTTAAAAGCCGACAGCATGCAGCTTGAAGCTATCTGGCACAAATCCTTCGGCCCCGGGGGGCCTGTCTGCATATTATCCTCAATGGACTGTGACATAGTGAACACCGGGGCTTGTGGTATGTCATATATACTTGAAGCTGGCGGCAAATTGCATTGTGGAGGCGTCAATCGTACATCACTGGTTGATTCGAACACTGAAATGGCCCGGTCTATGTAATTGTCGAGAAGGGGTATAAGCCCTTCAGTGGCAATCTGTCGGGGGAAGGCTGGATGGCGGGATAGGAACTCCAGTCCAAGCGGATCATCACTGCTGCTAGGCAGTGATGGTTCAAAAGACCAATCGCTAGAGGCGGCGAAGTGTGCGAAGAAAGCAACCAAGCTGCGGGCAAACAGTTCACCATCTCTGTCACCACACAGATGGTTCATCACTCCAATCTTCAGCGTTGATCGAGAGGCAGTGCTAAGGAATTTAGCACCTCAGGAATATTACTGCTGATGTCTCAATTTGCTCACTTTTTTCAAGGTTATAATGATAGGGGGCGGTGATGAAGTTGTTTATCAAACGGAATGATGTTTAGTCCCAAGTATCGGAATTTGGAATACTTCCCGACAGGATTTATCATATGAGATTATGATGAAATGACCATAAACAATCTTTAATGACTGCCACACAAGGGGATGGCAATTGACAAAAGATTGTGCGTATGATTCCCACGGAGGGAAATGGACAGGAGAGAGAAAGGAGAACAAAGAAGAGATAAGAAAGGAGAGAACTAGCTCACTACATGGTCCTATCATTAGGGACCTGCGGGCCCAAAACGATCTAACTCATATGTAGATTAGCATCTGGTGTGCAAGGGGTTCGAACGAGTGGATGTTAAATAGTTCGCACCCCCCTGTAAAGACTAGCTACTAGCGGGAAACACGCAATGGGACAGCTGCAGACATATCTAGGAAGTATTCAGAGAAATTGCCAAGGGGAGAAGCCTGGAACCACTGGGGCTTATGGTAAGTTGATGAGACAATAGGGAATCAGGAAGACAGAGGAGTGTATGACTAGCTCTCTATATGTAGATACTATTACTATGTATGACTTGCTGGGTCTTGTAGCTGACTATTTATACTGGCAACATGTATACTAATGTAAGAGCGCTTTAATCAGAAGTCTTACACTTGCATGACCTGTAGAGCCTATATCGCCGGCGATTGGTGTCGGTCCTGTGTCGCTTGCTTCTATTGTGTCTAGATATATCATAAGCCACTGGCCTGAACTATCGGGCATCTACCCCAAATTCTGCTGCCTATCTCAACAGCTCGCCAAGTCATTTATAAATTCATGCACACAGCCATGGTGAATCATCATTGGAGAAAACCTGTCTTAAACAAAATCCAATAACGGTATATAAAATAAGCGCAACTTCCTGTGCGTTGGCGGTGAGCCATGTCACTGCCCGATGATGGCCAACCTGATGCAGGGGTGTTGAAACGGCCCCCGCCTCTTGAGCCACTCTACGGGGAAAAAATACATATAGATAGACTTCATTGTTTTTGCAGTCAGTTTCTCTATTTCCTTTCTCAGAAGATGAACATCAAATGGAGGGTTGACCAGGTGCCCTACACATGTCCCTTGTGACCCGATAAGACTGTCTCACTTTGTTTAGCTGCATAGCTTGGCAGGGTATCAGCCCGTTTACAAGGCTGAGTTCATGCGGGGAGCCCTGTTGGCTGGAAGAACGCGGCTTAAAGAGGACTTTTTCCCCTTTTATTTCTTTCCTTTCTCCTTCTTCCCTCGTCGGTTGCTTTTTCATACAAGCTTTTTCCAAAAACGAAATCCATCATGCGTATAAGTTTGTTTCTCGCAACGGCGCTAGCCGCTCTCGTAACCGCAGATGAAACCACCAGAATCAACTATTTCGGGGGCGGAATGGAGTGGGTTCGTCAACTGAACCTCCACCCATGGACCAGCACAGCTGCCAGCGTCGCTGGGATCAATGCCGTCGCTACCACCTACAGAATCGGATGTCTGAGCGATGCGCCGAAGTCTGATTGCGAGATCGCTACACCCTGGACCATGATCCAGGGCCCCAAAACCTACAGTCTCACGGGTGTCTATACCGTGTCAGGCTCAGGATCGATCAATGCTGTGACTGGAACCCACAACTTCGATTGTACTTTTGCCAAGGTTACCGAGTCTCCTTCTTGTTCGTTTAGCGTGAAAGTCACCGGCACCACTGCAGGCGTTTCCTATTCAACTTCCACCTCTACCTCCATCAAAAATATGCCAACGCAGTCCTACACCTCCTACGGGATCGATGTCACGGCCGGAACAGCTTTATTCACTGCCAGTCAGGCAACTAAGACTCCCAATGGGGCAGCCGCCATGATTACTGCTGCGCCAATGGGGGCAGCCGCCGTCGTGGCAATTGCTGCTATGCTTTAGTGATGGGTTGACTCTTTGCACACGCCGTCCCTATTTTACCCTGGCCTTTTGGGTAGATCTCATTCGACGTCTCAAGAACAATGTTTCTTTTTTTAAGCTGCCTCAGAGTGCTTACCACTACACCGCTACTTTCCGTGGAGCAGTCACTCCTCAATCTCAAATTGACGGCATATGATGATAGAGAAATGGGACAAAGGAGGCAGTCAAATTGGGAAGGCCCTCATTCTGGTCGCATGCATTAGCTGACATGATGCTAGTTGATGGAATAATAGGGTAGAGTTGTCGGGACTCCTTGATGTAGCTGAGACTGTCCCGAAGAGAGCAGCAAATACAGCATGACAATATTGGGACAGTGTATGGAGAATGAATATTCAGATAGAAACAAATATTGATTTATGCATGTTCAACTCAAAACTGGAAGAAAGATCACAAGGGATGAAACCGAGGAACAAGAACTGGGATACCAAAATATAAACGAAGATAAAAACAGATAACCACCTCGCTAAAATGAACATGAATCGGACAAAGAGCAAAATGATGGAAGGCCAGTCGACGACCTGGTCGAGTGTGTCTAGCCATGGGCTCGTAACAGGAAAAAACAAACAACCGCAGAGCTTTTACATGCGGACAGGAACAAATATGTACAAAGGAAAGACCAATGTTTTTTGCATATGATTGTAATGAGCACTTAGCCATCAAGGCATAATGCGTCAAGCCAACCACGTATAATTGAAGTGATCACCAAGTTTCCTTACAGCAAGTCAGCATAGCCCATAAACATCAAAACACATCAAAACTTACAGCAATATACTGTCCAGCCTCCTTCTTCCGCTGCCAGAACATATCGGCCTCTTGGGCATTGAGATTACCCTTGGCCATAGCAACATCAATAAGAGCAGCCTCAACACCCTCACCCATACCTTTACCCGAACCACAAACAAAGACACGACCATCAAGCGAGTTGATCACAAACCAAACAAGATCAGCCTGGTGTCTCACCTCCTCTTGCACATAGCGACTCTCGCCCCTACGGCTCTGCACAACAGTGCGCACCTTATCCTCATGCACGCCCCACTCGCCCGAGTAAAGCTCATCAAGGAGCGAGTCCCTGACACCCTGCAGCACCCAGACCTTATTGGCGCAGTTAGCCGACTGCAGACGGCGCTGCACGAAGCCGCGGAAAGGCGCAATGCCAACACCCGCACCGATGAGCAGCATTGGACCGTCCGAGGCAAAACGCGTTGCAAGCGGGTTCGCCATCAGTCCTCGGAACATGGGTACGTGGAGATCGACTTTCTCGCCAGAGGCTTCGGCGGCAATCGCTCGCCGTGCGAGGGACTCCAGGAACCCGGACCCTGCGCCTGTGCGGGACCCACCGCGCCAGTCATCGGATTCGGCGACTGTGACGGCGATCTCAATTAGGCGTCGGCATTCGGTGCCTTTGTAATGGCAGGAGATCTGGGGGTCTTGGGAGAGGGAGTAGAAACGGGGCATGAGGGTGTTGAGAACGGAGAGAAGATGGTCGAGAGGTGGTTGAGAGCTTGAGAAAGCGGTTAGGAGTTGGGTGAGGGAGACAAAAGAGCTTGTGCGTAGGTCACAGAATGCACCTTGACCTTGGGCTGAGGACAGATATTCGAGAATTTTCTTCTCGTTTGGCTCGCTTGTGTACTCGGCGAGGAGGCGGAAGAGTGGCTTTGTTGGGGCGTAACTCTGGATGTCGGAGCACCAGCTTAGGACTTCGCGACGGGTAGTGATCAGCTCGCGAGGCTTGTCGTCGCCCCAGATTGTCGGCCAGCGGCCTTTGGTTGTGCGCATAAGGATTTTCTTATCGCGCATAGACTTTGGGACACCTAGGAGGTTGAGGACCTCTTCGACTTCGGAGTCCTTGTTCTTGGGGCACACGCCAATTGCACCGCCAACTACAAAGTCAACCATCCCGCTTTCGGCGGGGTAGTCGGTGACATCAATATCAAAGTGGTATGTACGTTTCTCGGCACCAGGCCCTGTCAGCTCACGGGTGTGGAATAGAGGCGCACGGTAGACCTGGTAAGGTGGGTGCGGCTGCACGAATTCCGGCGGGTGGTCGGCAGGGCCAAAGGTAAGATCGACTGCCGATGCCGGGATCGGCTTGAATGAAACGGTCTTCTCTGGGAGCGGGGCAATGTTGGAAAGTTCACTGTCCATGGTGAGGAGATCGAGGTTCAGGTTGAGGCTATCAAAGGCCTTGTTGCCGACAGGTCCAACGATGGAATTGAAGCCTGAGATCGGTCCATCTACAGGACGCAATGCCTGTCCCCGGCAACAACCCCCACCACAGCAGAGGGATTGAAGCTTCTGAGTACCTGCTGTGCCCACATTCCCCAACACCCTTCGCATGTCGTCCGAGTTCTGGGAGATGAGGACAGTAGATGCTCGTCGCCTTTGCCGGACATCCTCGACCTTTTCCTCTGCATTTTCATCCTCCGATTGGGACTCGGTGGGTGGAGTCAGAGGGCTATTGGGAGAATTCGAGCCGCTCGATGCAGTGCCCTGGGAGGAGCCCGAGGAGATGACGTTGACATTGATGTCGGTTACCGAGAGAGAACGCACACCTCGAGGCTCTTCTGGAATTGGGTTATCTGGGTGGGAAGTCGAGGACTTTGGGATTTCCTGATAAGTGCCTCTGCGGGGGCGGGACCCCGTTGACGCATAAGTCGACGACGGCATGATGGATTGAACGGCATGAACTAATTCGATCAGCATGTGAGTCTGGGACTGAATTGGGATTGGGGTGTCCTCCACCTACCCATGACGAAATTGAGAGGAGTGTTGGGAGTCACCGAAAAGTTGTACAAAAGTCGGCGCAATGAGGGAAGACCGGGGTATATGAGTCGAGACGTGACGATGGCAAGGGGATGTAGTAGAACCCCCTTTTTTCTCTTTCTATGAATAGAGCATGGAAACAGAATAGTGGGATGAGGGAAGAGAAAGCGGATCCGAAGAATTGGTCGGGACGATAGTTCCGTAAAGAGAATCGGGAAAATCGAAAATGACGGTATGGGAATGAGAAATACAGGGTCTCACAGCGTTGAAGATCGGAAACAGAACAGGGATTTTATCAGATTCGCCACATTCCTCGTCACCAGTATGTTACGCGGTTGGTTCCGGCCTTGATCGTTTACATGTAAATAGAGCTCGAATATAAGATCTCGACTTATCGTTGATATCGAATGTCAGCAGTAATCAGGACTCGACTACTGGATATGGTACCGGCTCCATTTGGGGTCATTGTATCCATCCAGATCGACGGTGCATATGAAGGTGCACTTGTACTTTCCCCGTATTCGGTGGCGGAAACCGCCGAGAGATTCCCAGTTGGCTGCTACCATATTCAAATGTCATATGATATAGACATATCTTACGTTGACCAGGGGGATTCTACACGGGTGTTTTGAATTCGCACAAGAAAATGCAAGTTCCGGGGTGGGCCGACAGGAAATGTTGAATTGGAACAGGTGTAATGTATGTAACGTGACAGTACCATACATGATACCTCGGTTATCAGATCAATCAGATAGCAAACAGCGGATTCCAATGTCCGAGTATGTAATCATATCCCATCTGATAACCCAACGTGTCTCGACGCTCTCCACATGATGTGTGTTCTATTTGCAAAGGGGCACTGATTGCAATCAAAATCCCCTGAGTCCAAGCCTCGAGGCCCCGTCTTTACAAAATACCAAATGGATCTCGCTCTATAGACTCCCCCACTTTCCGACCAGCCGGACCTACCGGTAGAGTTATGTATCCCGTTGGCCCATCACAGCTCTCATAGCTTACACGTCCCTTACCCTCGGTAAACCAATTTCCCAACCATCCGGTCCAATGTGGGGATGCCAGGCCGAGATCAATCAGTGGGTCGGATTTTGAACGAGCTAGGGATGTTCTAGAAAACCAGTGAAACAGATCACCCCTGGAGCTTTCAGGCTGAAAGGTTCACTGATAGGCTGGTCGATTCAATAATAACATGTCTGAAGCCACTCCCTACCGGAATCAGCTGATTCTTTTGTGCATATGTAGCCCGTCTCCCGGGCTTTTAGTGTTTTCACCAAGTCTCTATTCTATACTAGTGGCACTGCATTCGCGATCTTGCATCAGTCCATTCGACATTCTTTGTCACGTCGGGTAGGAAGGCTGGGGTTTGCGTACAAAGTACGGAGTACTCCGTACTCCGTAGTCACGCGGGTTATAAAGCGTTTGAGTTATAGGGGGAAGAAACCTTAGAAGGGCTAACAGGTTCCATCTGATAACTTAATTTTAATGCCGATGGCCGGCTGGACTTCCGAGAGACCTCCTAATCGAGTAACTATCATCACAGATAGGGGTGTGTACCACGTCATTATTATACGATGTTGGTCTGTTTGAAGACGAATGAAATAATGATAATCGATAATAACAGCAGAATCCCAAGACCGTACCTACAGTATATACGGAGTACGTCACGTCATCACGTCATCTCTAGCATCCAAACATAAACAGAAAAATAATAACAGAAAAGAAAACAAATCCTCCAGCCCAACCAAATACTCTAACTATTTTCATCCCGCTGGACCAAAGCCACAGGCGGAATAAAATGATGTCTTCCCCGAACCAAATAATAAATAGTCGCAGATCCAATGATGCCAACATACATCGCCACGCTCCAGTTCATTGTTTCAGCCGTAACATCCGTCGACAGAGGGAAAAACGCAAAGATAAAGATCGGACACAGGAACGCCAACGCTCCAAGATTCACTGCCATGCCAAATTTCCCAAGTGACCACCGGTGGTGTGGGAGCGGCTCGCCCCGAATGCGCTTTAAGAATACGCACCCGATCGAGATGATATAAGCGGATAAAAGGGATGTGATGGTGAGCGAGATGACGGCATTCAGGGCGACCTCTGATCCGATGTTGATCATCGATAGTAGTACTGTGATAACTAGAGATACCATCACGGAGTTGAGGGGGATGTTCCAGCCTGGTGTGACCTGGTTATCTGTTAATACTGCTGGACTTACACCTCTTATTAGGATGTAGAAGACGTGGCTTACATATGCGAAAAAGGACGAAAAGGGCAGCCCCTCGTCCCGGGCAAACGACCAGAGCTGGCGCGATGCCGTCGCCACTTCGGTGATTGTGCTGGCGGTCAGCGTCACCACCAGCACGGCAGTCATGGCGTTTGTCGCGGCGATGCTACCCGTGGTGTTGTAGAATATCTGGATAAATGGGAATCTGGTGGGGGTATCGAGGACTCTGTCGACCTCGCCTAGGGTGAAGCACAGTGTGATCAACATAATGAACCCCAACACGCCATTAACGGCGACAGAGGACATCATTGCCTTAGGGAGTGTCTCTGATGCGTCTTTAATTTCTTCGGCTTTTGAATGTCAGCATGATATACCATGTCTGTGATCATTCGTGGAGTTCTTCCTTACACATATGAACCGAGCAATCATAACCAAGCATGGATGTTATGGTAGTGGACAAGCCGACCATTGTTGCCGTCCCAGGGCTATCCCAGCCGCCCCCATTGTTAAACGTGGTGAAGACTGCGTGGGCATTGTTGCGTGGTGCGAGTACCCACAACGGGATGATGATAGCGAACAAACCAACAACATGAATGATCAAAATCAGTCCTTCCACGAAGGGAAGATTCTTGGCTAAGAAGGTGTTGAATAAGATTGAGAATGTCGAAATGGCAATTACTAGCATGGTGCCATGCCATCGCTGGAAGTTATAGTCTGGCTGGTTTAAGACGATCAGGCCTTGAATGATTGTGCCAGCAAGGTAGGCGATGGATACAATGGCGCATTGCCACCCCATTGCAGAAAGCCATCCTGAGATAATATGATATGTTAGCTGGTTAGACTTACACAGGAACTGGCTGTGTTACCTGTGATATAGCTGAGGTATTTTTGTCCTCTCTTTGGTGCGAACTCCGACACCCAATGGTACTGTCCACCAGCAGTGGGAGCCCTATTTATCAATTGATTAGCGGTGATTTGTGAAGAAGCAGCAAGCCGACAGTCACCTACATCGAGGCCATCTCAGCAATGCTGGCGTAGACAAGTGTAAACCCCAATGTGACGCTGATGAACCCCCATATCAAGCCCGCGGTACCCCCATCGGTCAAGCCAGCCGCCAACAATCTATTAATGGAGTCAGTAGTCTGCATAATTATCATATGCAGGGACTCGCACATACGTCAAGATAACTTCCCATGTGCAGATCAAAGTGCATCCAAATCCTACAATAGAAATAAACCGAAAGTTTCTCTTTGTGATGTTAACACAGCCGGAACAAAAAGAGTAGAGCTACTTACTCGTAGAACCTGCACTCGACCTAGAGCATTCATATCACGCTTATCCGCCAGCGTGCCCATATACTGAGGCTCAACAAGGCCTTTCTCCGCGTACTCCTCGTCGTCAAGGCCAGTCATCGTCTGCTGTGAGTCAGGTCTGGATCTGCTGATGACTGTCATGATTGCGGGCGTGGCTGAACGATTAAATGTAATCTATTGAAGATGAGACAAGAAAATTCTCCGCAGAAATATAGGGGATTGCGAGAATAAGAATGAAAGTCAATATCTTCTGGCAACTCGACGCCCCGGGGGATCTAGGGTACAAAAGTGCCAATGACAAAAGCACCCTCTAATGAAGCGAACAAAAATGAATGTAACCAGAAGAAGAAGGTATTAGGAGAAAGCCCGAAGGACTAGAATCATGACGGCCACTGGATTTCGGGGATTGAAGCGTGGTATTGACGTGGGAGCAAGGCATGGCCTAAGGAAAATTCTCGTGCACCATGTGGGAGAGCACATCTCCTCGGAACACCCAAGCAGCGATCCGAATGATACATCGTTCTTTGCCAAATGGTGATGCATCTAATTCGATCGGGAATGGAACTGTTGAAACTAGTTTTTGGAGTTTGCTATCCCTTGTCTGTTGCCCGGAATGGGGCTATTGCGACCTTGCATGCCAGGGGTTGAATAATACCTGTAATCTTGGAAGATATTGGGGTTTAGACTGACTGTCGGGGTTGTAATGCCACTCTAAAATCTTCTAATACTTCTATATATCTCTATCACTGTTGTATATAAACCATAACTTGTTTGAAGAACACACTTACCGAAATTGTAGCCGATACAAAGTACGAAATATAAACAAACCTAACCCCTTCGGTACCGCTGCCCGACACATTTCTGATGTATCATCTGCGCTAGCCATCTAGACCTATTAATCCCTGTCGCACGTCCCTCATTGCTTATCCCCCAGACAATTCCGCCACACTCCATGCCTAGCTCGAACCAAATAACGGGTGGATGCATGAACCCCTCGCTTTATTTGCCCAAGAGAAAACCGCATGGCCTATCGGATCACAACCTCCTAAAGACCCACAGCCCAATCCCGAAGGGGCGCACGATGATCGACAACCCTACAGCGGACCGCCGTGCCCTAAACGCATGTTCGCAGTACGGATAACTCCGTACTACATCGAAGTTCGACGTGAGGGAGAGAAGTAAAATCACCATTCCAACTGACCTTCGCTTAAACCAAAAATGATAATTGCCACCATTTATATCCTATAACGAAAGAAAGGGATAAACCAGCCATAAGGCTTTCGGATACACCTACAGCATCCGCCCACATCGAGCGAATCCCACCAGCCCTATTTACGTACATGCCTGAACTCGATAGTCTATCTTTTTTATCGGATATCGGCATATGACCTACGAAGGCAGAACAATCATAATCCCAAGTGAGTGGGAGAAATGGAACCTAGCTTAACCTTTATTGCCTCGCCTTGACGCCCGCATACCTCCTGCTTGTGCTTTTCTATACAACGTATACAAGCGTCTCAAATCGAACCCCTTCTTCCGCAGTAATTTACATCCCGCCATTCAGTCCACATGGCTCCCGGATCTGACAGCCTTTCACAGTCGCTTCTGTGTCTGTGTTGATCAGCGAATCCCATATATACATTCCACATACTATCACCACAGTATATCCTTCCCTCCACATGACATAGATCATAACCACGAGAAGGGTACTTTTGAGATTATATCGTTTGCGGCGGCTCCTGCTTCCTCCTCTGCCATGGGCCCATATGTGCCGCCAGGCCAGTCGCCACCCTTCGAGGTCGTCGATGACTTACATCATGGCGCATGGGTGATAATTACCGCCGCGCTGGGACTGGTCGTATCTCTCGCATGTTTCTTGATTCGGCTATATGTGCGGCTCATGCTGATTCCGCCGTTTGCGCGCGACGATTGGATTTTGTTGGGTGCTACAGTGAGTTAGGGCTTGACAAGTCGAGTCAAGTTTGGGGTGGGAGAATTATCTGAGCACGTACCCTGCTGACATATTATTTTTACTTGTTGTATAGGCTACCGCTGTGGTACAATCAAGTCTCATCTTTTATGCGTGCTCGCGCGGGTTCGGGACTTCTATATCGTTATTGAAGGATGGTCGACTCGATCAGATCCAGGCAGTAAGTTGTTTGAATTCTACTACTTCAATGGACCTAAACTGAGCAGCTACGAAGTTAATTGCAGCAAGCGATATCATCGCGCTGATAATAATTTACCTCTCCAAATGCTGTGTCGTGGCTATCTACCTCCGCCTCACGCCTCAGAAACCACATAACCGCGCATCCTGGGCGACATTAGCTCTGTGCACTGCCTGGGTTATCCCTGCTATATTCATTGTCCTAGTTAACTGTGAGCTAAACACACCTTGGCGGAGTGATGGTGGGCAATGCAACGACTTGGTACGTAAACCCCATGATATACCACGCATCAACTCCCCGAAGCCGTTTCTCACCTCGCAACAATAGTACATACGATGGCAATTCATCGCAGCAGTCGATGTTATAACCGAGCTCCTTCTCTTCATCTTAGCCGTGGTCCTCCTCAAAGGCCTATTTATGTCCGTTCGCCGCAAACTAGCCGTCGGCTTCGCATTTATATTCCGCTTTCCGTGAGTAATCTACATTCACCCCATCCTCAACCTCAAATCCAAGACTAACCGCCTAAACCAAGCCTCATAATATTCTCCTTAATCCACATCTCAACCCTCCACACGGCCCTAAAGAGCAAAGATACAACCCTCGCCGCCGTCAACCCAACAGTCTGGATGCAAGTCGAGCTCCAGTACGCCCTAGTCGCATGCAGCGTATTCTGTCTGCGACCCTTCATGGCAGCCGTTAGCACTAACTACGGTACGGCGGGTGACTCAACGCTGGAAGGTAGCGCGTCGAGATCAAACGGAACAAGAGAAGGCTCGAAGACCGGGTCTGGGTCGGGCTCGAATCCAAATACCGCTTCGAGGTCTGTGTCACATTCTCGCATGCAGAGGAAAAGAGTTGGTACAGGGTCAAGACTGCCACCGGTTCCTCCGGCCGTTAGTTCTCAATCGCAACAGTCAGAGAATCATGGCCCTGGTCAGGGCGCTCCGTTGTGTCTTAATACCAGTACCCATGCGCACAGAGCGCTTGGAAATAATACAAGAGATGGGTATAGTGGCAGCTCAGATACAGTTTGCCCACCAGTGCGTCGGTCAATGTTCCCGCTCAGCGCGCCGCGCAAGAAGTTGAGCTTTCAGATGCTGGATAAAGGGAAGAATGGGATAAGGGCTGGGTCTGGGGGTTTGTTTACGGATGAGTCGGATTTGATTGAGCTTATGCCGAGGTCGCATACTCGGCATGCGAGCGATGCGACTGAGCTAGAGGATGAGGAGGGGGCGGATAAGATGGTTATTCATAAGGAGATTCGGTATTCGATTCAATATGAGGATGAGGATGAGGCTGAGTTAAGGAGGCGGGAGGATTTGAAGATTAATTCTGTTGATGTTACTGCTTATGTATAATTATATCTCTATATTATGCCTTCTTGTAGGATGTGTGGATGTGGGATATTAAAGGGAAGTTGTACACAAAGTTTCAATATTATAACGCTTCAGTTGTTGGTCGCTTGAAAGGATGGGCTTCAGTGCTCCTAAAAAGAAAAGTGTTAGCTCATGAAGATAGTATAAACACAGCTGGCCGCAAACGTACAGCACATAGTCGTCCAGACTGATATGATCTGGCTCAGAAAAGATGAGATAGAGGTACTTCAAAGTTTCGGCAAGCCAAAAACTCTCCATTTTGTCCTCATGTTTCGGTTTCAAATGACGCACATCGTTAATAGACGAATGACCAAATTTAGTTCGGGTCGCCTTGTCGATATTCTTGAACATGCGCCACGCGGAGTCTTGAAGAGTCTTATCTCCAGTAATCCGGTACATGACGAATAGAGACTCAAGAGCTTCAGGTCTGGATGAGGCATATGTTAGTGGGCTGCACTGGGAGGAATGGGATAAATTCGTACCTGAGTTTATACGATGCGTCTCGGACACTAGTCACACCGGGTGGCAGACGCTCAACCTCGATCTGGACCTCCGCTTTTTCGCGGTCCTCCTCGGTATCGATAGAGTGCGATATGACATCTGACATCCACTGCTCTTCATCCCACGGACATTCATCAATGTGCTGGCAAGGACTGACTCTGAAAACCTCCGGCATAATTCCTGAAGGCATAACATCATATGCCCAGACGCAGCCGTCGGTAAGTCCCCGAGCAACATACATATCCTCCGGTCGATTGAAAACCTTAGCTCCAATAGCCACGGTGCCACCCATGAAGCACTTGAGGTGGTCAGGCGCGTACTGGAAGGTCTTCGAGTCACCCCGTAGTGCGACGACGTTAGCCGTAAAGAGAAAGTGTTGGTCCTCATCCTGGGTCATTCCTCTGAACAGCAGATTCTCGTTGAATGTTTCAATGGCCTTTTCGTACATTCGGTGATATTTGTCTGTCTGTCCACCTAGGAGAATATGTTCCTTGGGCAAGTATTCGTACGCGGAATCGGCACATCCACCGATAGTGAATTCGGAGTCGTCGAATGTCATTAGGTCGGTGTTAATCCAGGTCGGCCACATGCCAGGCATCCGGGTCTTGTCTTGTCCGATTTCGAGCTCGTTCATGATCCGCTGCACGGCATCGTAGTACTTGGGATCACCGGTCAATTGGGTCAGGCGAGTGAACTCCATCGTCAAGGAGCCCATTTCCGCTAAGCTTGTGCGTGATGATGGTGTAATTTCTTTGCCTTGGGCGGATCTAGATATTGTCAGTCACAAATTCTCCTTGCGTATTATTTTCTATTTGGGCATACCTTATCCATTCCCAACGCACTTGGGGCATGCGATTATGCGTATCAAACGCATTGAAGATCATCTCGCCTAGTTCGACAGCCTTTCTCAGCAGGATAGGATGTTTGCCCTCGGTCAGATCATGAGCAGCAATAAAGCCACCCATATAGCGAATGATGATCTCAAAGACAGGCACCTGCCTGCTCTTGGTCGTTGTAAAGTCGATTTCCTCCAGAGCTTCCAGAGCCAGCTGGAGCTCATCGTCCAGTCCCATAATCACCAGCGCATCTAGCGAATCAACAAGCGTGGCACCCCATCCATTAAAGGTATCCTGGTACCCTCCAGTGCGAGGTTTCACCTCGTCTCGCATCCACGCATAATCCTTATATCCATTCCATGAATGAAGAAACGCCTCCTTCACAGCATCCCGCTTCTTGAGTCTGGCCTTGCGCTCACCGTGGGTTTCTTCAGGGAAGTCATGCTGTATGCGGGGAATTTTCGCTGAACTTGTTGGTAGCGGTATGTACTCTGTAACAGGGAATCGCTCGGTGACTTTATCTAGACGGATAGCATCATGCCGAATAGTGCTGTCTTTTCTGGAGATTGGCTTTGCTAGACGACCTCGGCATGTTTTTGTACTAGGGAGCCAGAAGAGGAAAACGTATGTCGCGACAATCAGAAACAACGCTGTTGACAAAGGTCGATTTTTGCGCTTGTTGTACATAATAAATGAATGGAATAGGGAGATTTCAAAATAACCCAAGAGACAACAAAGGAATAGTCATAGGAAGCCTAGAGAAGGAGTGGAATGATGTACAAGTCAAGTCAAGTAGGGACCAGTAGCAAATGCCGGCATGTCTCAGTGAACAAGATCCTGATACATAATTAGAGCAAACAAAGGAGGAAACATATTTTACAAAAGGTGGCACGTCATGGATTGTGAGAGGTCTCTAGGGAATCAGACACGGTTTGGAGCTCCATTGATCGTCCCTGGTGGCTTTTGGAAGTTAATGCGAGGTATGATCTTGGAGAGCATCGAATGATCATTGGCGCAATTCGAGAATGTCACCCCCTTCACACCTGGCCACGCAACAAGGGAAGACTGCAGGGTCCAATCTGTAGAGTTATTAATAGAGTAATATCAATGGTCAAGTCTAGACTGGTGAGAAAAGCGCCAAGACGGTTTTTACGTCTCTCTGCTCAGCGCCACCAACCCCACCGCGGCCCCTGACTGTCCCTGATAGAGTAGTTAGGTAAGGGTTGATCTTGACGATTTTCAGACTGGAAGATCGGACAATAACACATTGTGGGTCTGAAAGCTGTGCTTTGGTATGCATATGTACCCTGCCTACTGGGGCTTCCTATCTCAGCTGTCGCCACTTTTAGGGCACTCAGAGTCAGGTTCAAGTAAAGTTCAATTAGGGCAGGTAGCCCGGGGTCGTGAATTAGATTACATAATTTATTCATTCATAACCAGCCATCACGTGATGAACCAGTGAGGTGCTCACTAAACCCTCACCCTCACCATAATTACCCAACGGAGTACTTTGTTTATTTTGCGATAATTCGTTGATTGCCCTCACTTCTCACCATACTCTGACCACCCATATGGACGGGACTCAAGGCCCAAAAGGCGGAGCACTCCAGAGTTTATACCTTCCCTATTTGTCGTTTCCTTTTCTTCACGCTTCAACCGACTTTCCCCCTCAAGTCCCGCAAGAATAGCGTCTCTAAAAACTGATGGCTTCGCAGGCCCAGATCTTTCTCTTCCTGAAGCCGTTTCTCGTACCATACCTTCCTTATATTCTATCCCAAACAGTCTTCCAGATGGATACGTCGTCAACCACTCCCGTTTCGAGTTGCTGCGCGCCTGTGCCAAAAATCTTATCGAGTCCCTTCAGTCAAGGTCAGAAAACCAGTGGCTTGTCATTATCGGCTTATCCCGATCAGATATACACAAAAACTCGATGAAGACCACAGTTGTTTGGGGGGATGGGTTATAGGTTTACATGGGAAGGACATGCTGGGCTCATCAAGATAGTCCCCTCCTTCGAGCGCAATTCGGTCGTGGATGGGCCCACCAGGGTACTGGATCTCGACTTCTAGGCGAGAAGGGCATTCTGAAAGTCGACATGGTGACTTTCTCCCTTGTTCTAAGGGATAGTACTTTTGTGTCTTGGTAGATCCGGTATGAGATTGAGCGGTATGTCACTTGGCTGTGTAGGACCTGTAAGAATAATATGCCGACCTTCGGTTCTTGACGAGGAAGAAATGGAAAAACGCACTATCGGAAGCTTCAGTACCGTGTCTAGTGGCTTGGACATGACTTGGATCTCTAATGGTACCCGCCAGGCAATTCCAAGAACGTGCCAGATAAGACCACAGATTTGTGTCGACAACCAGCAGAAAGTGGGTAGCTACCACGACATACAAGCTGACCAGGGATTCCTTCAGCCATCTCGCCGCCCTCCCAGCTGACCAACACTCACCGTTGAGATGGGGCTTTCAGAATCGTTATCTCAGCTCAGATGAAATGCCCTATAGTGGCTATCTAACTCTTCCGGTGAGGTTCGAATCGTCTTGATTATCTCTATGTTAAAAAAAAAGATAAGAGTTTCCATTGAAAAATGGTAACTAGCACTACCGAATAGTCCACGCCCCCTCGAGAGAAGGCATACATTCAAACCCTATACCAATAGATCCGAAGATCCCTCGGCTAATCCAACAGCAAGTAGTATCGCAGTAAGCGTACTGTGCACGAGGTCGAGGTTTCCACTGGTAGCATGTCTGGTACAGTTTCCCATTTATTACAGTGTATGATAGACCACCGGCATAAGGGGAGGGAGACATTGTCCTTACCGCGCAGGATTTTCTAGATTTCACCAGTGATCTGATTTAATATTGCGGTGGTTTGCTTTTTGGGAGCCCTGGATATATTCGCTATACTTATCCATACCCCTTTTTTCGTTTCATTACCAATTGAATCTGTCACACGACAGGAAAATGAATGCATAATATACTTTGCTTTCAGAAAATTTTCTAGATTCTGCGCAGACGTATATTATTAGGCTTCTAATACCTTGCAATATCATAATAAAAAAAGAATAATAAAAGGATTCGGTTCATCCGAGGAGGTTGAAATATGTACACTAGATGTTTGCTTTGTTTGCACTTCAATGCTATCATGCAGGCTTTCATCTACAGGCTGCCCCGTACTTGATTCTCCATAACAACCTCGTATACATATAAATTGTCCAAAGGTACCAGTTTATTCCTATTTTCAATGTTTATACTAATCAATATATAGATTGAACTCCCGTCCTGTTTAGGAATCATCTTTTGGCATTCCTCTGGCACTGGACTTGATCATCATTGCTATTGATCGATCTCTATATCTATATTGCATGGTCGCTACCTGCTACAGATTCCCAAATCAATCCTTCAACAGGACTTAAGACTATCTGGGAACCTATCGCCGCATCAATTTCCCAATTGATATCCCTCAGCTCAACACTGCTGTGGCCATTAGTCCCATCTCTTCCTCTGCACCTGCCCGGAAAACAAACATAAAAATGCCTATCACAGGGTAAATATACTCCATATCCAATAGAAACACGCAAAACTAACACCCCAAAGCGTCTACTTCATCCCCTCAAACCCAAACGCCTCAACAGCCCTCCAA